TCCTCTCTCTCTCTCTCTCTCTCTCTCTCTCTCTCTCTCTCTGTCTCTTCAAAATCATTATTTGGTGGACTGATGAGAATATGGACTTTAGAATCAAATGAAATACTCCCTACATCTTGGCTGTGTCTTTCACAAATGGTCCCACATCAGGCAAAGGAAGGGAGAGGCGTGGGAGGGACTGAGGTGTGGAGACATTTGACCCATCTAAAGGGAGCAGGCTTTGAGCAGATCCAGACACCTGCTGCCTGAGAGAGGGTAGCACAGTGTACCCAGATCAGCTAATTCTTCCAGAGAAGCTAGAGATCCAGATTTTCCTGTGAAATCTCCCAATTTTCCAACATTGGCAACTAACCCATTTATTTTGTGCAGGCTCAAAGCATTGTGCCCACCAGTGCATCTGGCCTTTGGCCACCAGGGCTACCCGCCACAGTCACGCAGGTGCTCCTAGGACAAGGACTCCAGGCCCAGGGCCAGGGACGGCTGAACTCTGCTCTGGCCCTGCGACTTGCTGAGCCACGACAGCTCATATGGAAGGATGAGTAAGAACCTGCAGTGTTTAGACAAGCATTCTTTGATTACATAATCCCAGGAAGTGAAGAGAAGAAGGCTCAGTTACCTTGCATCAGAAGCAAAGAAGAATTCCACGGCCTTGTCACCTACAGCATGCAGGCAGGCGGAGCTGTCCAGCCTCTTCATCCGTGTCTTACAGATATTCTTCACATTCTCCAGAGTGCCTAGCAAGTGGAGGAATGAGTTGCAAATCCCACTGGGATATTTTGTTTGCATAACATGCAGCAGGGAACCAATTTCCCCTCTGAATATATGTGGGAGAAATTTATAATTTTTAGCTTTGGCTGCGTCAGCCAAATCCTGTAAAAGATCCCCAAATAGCACAGTACGACTGCAAAAGCATTTAAATGGCTACAGTGTGAGAGGAATGCAAACAAAAACAAACCAAAGAAGCACTCAAATCAAGGCACAGTTGCCATTATACAACGGCACTTTTGTCTATGTTTGACAATATACAAAATCATGATACATTCATGTCCATAATAAAAAGCTTAAAAAAATAACGGAGCCAAGTCTCAGTTGCACGAAAACCTTTTAGACCTGGAGCTGTGCGCCCGTTGGGTCTGGCTCAGAGTGGGACATCCTTGCCTCGGAGGGGAGCTGACCGTGCCAGAGCAGCTGCTGAGTCCTGCGACGCCGGGCAGCAGCTGCGCTGTTCCAGTCCTTCTTGAGAAACTTACACGTCCTGTATAAGATGGGGATCTGTTCTGTAGAGAGCTTGTATTTGCTGCGGACTCCGATGAGCAGGGGGCTGCCTCTCCTGTAGGGAGGAGGCATCCAGTTACCCATCGCCTTTGACGCCCAGGGCTGGGTGTCTGCTCAGCAACTGAGGTGGGATTCCCAAATCTAGCCCTTTCCCAGGGATGGAGGATCCTGTTTAGGTCCCACAGGATGGATGTCTGGAGCACAGGACCAAATGGCCACGTCCTGAGTCCCAGGACCCTGACTTGGCATCACTCACCTACCCAGTAAGCCTGGTAACGTTTCCCACCCCTGCCCTCCCAGGCCAGGCCTTCTCCAGTACAGTTGAGTCTCCACACATGACCAACCCACATGGTTAGACGGCAGAGGCTGAGTGTTCAGCAGTGGAGGAGGTGCTGGTGGGGCGCAGGTGCACTTGGGGTCTCCACCCACCCTCGGCGGCAGCACATCTCTACAACGATAGGGCTCTGCACCCACCATCTGCCCAAAGACCCCCTGTTGTTCCTTCCCTTCCCCTAGCCCAGTTCTCTGGCATTAGTGGGCACTAGACTGATTGACTTTTGTATATTCTCTACTTTGTAGGTGACATATGGCAATTCCCTGGGTAGTTTTTGTCTCTGCCTGAGTGACACCCCGTGGATGAAGTTTAGAATCTTCACCCTGTACCAGGTAGACTTCATCATAAAGGGGACAGTGATTGTCACAAGCAAAATCTTGGGAAGTCTACAGCTGGCTAAGGTGAAGGGCCCTCACTCAGGCCTCCTTTCCAGGGTCTCTGTTTCAGCCACTGGAGACCGGCTCTCTGAGTACCTCGGCAGGGAATCTTCAGGAAAGAGCCTTTAGGATATTTCCTTCTATTTACAACTTCTAGTGGTGAATGTGATTAAGATCTCATGATTTTAATCACATCTTGCCTCCAGAATCTGATCCTTTGCTCATTCTTATAAATTACAGTGTGCAAATAAAATTTACCATAGGTGTGCACAGAAATAAGCGTCTCACTCTGGTAATGCATGCGTTCTAAACCTGCAGTTCTTAGAACCCAGGCAGGTAAAATTGTAGTAGTTAATAAAGGATGTGTGCCATTCTGCCTCTGCACATTAATTTATTAATAAGAAGAAAACACAGACGAACACTGTAATAAGACAATTTAAGAGAGCTGTTTCAAACACATGAATTAGAATACAACTGGGTGACATTTTACCTTAAGCAATTTCTTGCTAGATCAATGAAACTAATTAAGTACTTGTTCATCAGCTTGAATCCAGCCCACATATATCCATGGTCTGTTAGCCTGACTCATTGCAGTTCCTAAATTTTTCTTCAACAATAACAGACCTTGCTTTCCAGTCATGTTGTCCTGTTTGGATCCCACTTATGACTTCTCAAAGCAGGGGACAAAGCCTGGGGCTTTGAGGAAGGTGCTATGAACACCTTGAATATTTCAATCATTTATTGTGTAAAGCAAATCTGAGACGCAGTTCTGGGTCCAGTGGGGACCTAGCACAAACAGTTTATAATAATGGCAGTGAGAAAGTACATGGTTATCTAATTTTCTTGGCAAATGACTCCCCCAAATTTTATTGCTGTAGATTGAGCTCTGCGGTTTCTCTAGACCTTGAGACGTATAATTCTCCCAAGACAACCTAAAGATTGTCCTGGAGGTTATAGAGCCCTCAGTTATAAGCAATTTTAAAAAATAAAGCTTTATTGCTTCTTCACGCTGCTTTCTTCTGAGCTCATTTAAAACAGTAACATCATGATAAAATTAGATTTTAAAAAGGGCTTCTTAATTTGATAGGAACCAACTGGTATTTTATAATTCTATGAACTGAAGGAATTAAATTCCAAATGGCAAATTAGTTCCAGTCTTAGAAAAGATTTTAAAAATCATGATAAATTCCTGCTATTTCCTGCCGAGATACTATGACAGTCTGGGAGAGATAGCCTCACCCTCTCTGGCCCAGTCTCTCAAAGACACAGATTCATTCTAGATGTCTCCCCTGAAGCTTCAGAATGAAGCCTGCAGCCCGCAGGGCACTGAGGCCATATGGAGCCGGCCTTGTCTGCTTCTCCACTCCCTGCAGCCTTTGAGGCCCAAGAGCAGTGTCCACACCACCTTGCTCACCACTGGCTCCCATGCCTGGCACACAGCAGGTGTCAGTAAGCACACACTGAGCCTGGATGCCTCCGTCCCACCAATGCCCTTGCACGATACCCCCACCTTGCCAACAGGGATCCTGGGAGGTCCCACTACCTCTGGACCCCTTGCCTTTGCTCATGCTGGCTCCTCCCCACTGCCTGCCTGCCCCAGGCAGCCTCCTGCTTAGGGCTACCCACCACTGCCCCTCTGCCAGGTAAGGTGATGTCCTGTGCTGGGGCCCGGCATAGGGCATCACCATCCTCTGCCCTTCTGCACATCTGTTTAGCCCTTCAAGGCAGGGACCAGGTCAGATGTCACTAAGTCCTTAGGGCCCAGCACACAGTAAGTGCACGGCACATATTTGTTACATGGTTAGATGGATGGATGGATGGATGGGTGGGTGGATGGATGGATGATCACCCATTTGAATATAAAGAGGATGGTACTTAATCTCCTTCTATAAATCCGCACAGCACTGGGGGCCCACCATAATAGAGGGACACATGGGCTGAACCAGGCCTCTAAGTTGATTTCTGGGATGCTCCTTTGTGAAGGTGAAGCTTCAGCTCTGAGCCTTCAAGGCCTCTTCTGTACTGAATTCAAATCAGTATTCACTTTGCTTCCTAGTTTTGTGTTCATAATTTTGCATGCTTTTTCTTAAAGGGGGGCCCCGTATTGTACAGGCTTCAAGCCCCACAAAACCTGGATCTGCCCCATCTGTACAAGTTTACTTATAACTGGAATTTGTTGCCTACCTCTGAAAATCTGGAGATTTCAAATAAAAATCCAACTTTCTGGTTTCTTTTTTAAAAAATTCAGAAGTGTAGCACCACCGGCCATAGAGATAGTGGGGTGCAGTCCCCCGGGCTGAGCCACAGTTGTCCTTTAGATACCAGTGTGCCAGAGGCCCTATCTCTCCCTTCTCTCTCCAGCTATGTGATTTTCTTTTCTTTTCTTGTTTTCTTTTTTTTTTTTTTGAGATGGAGTCTTGCTGTTACCAGGCTGGAGTGCAGTGGTGCGATCTCAGCTCACTGCAACCTCCCACTCCCTGGTTCAAGCAATTCTCCTGCCTCAGCCTCCCAAGTACCTGGGATTACAAGCACGTGCCACCATGCCCAGCTAATTTTTGTATTTTTAGTAGAGACTGGGCTTCACCATGTTGGCCAGGATGGTCTCGATCTCCTGACCACATGATCTGCCCACCTTGGCCTCCAAAAATTCTGGGATTACAGGCTTGAGCCACCGCCCCCAGCCACTATTTTATTTCTTTCTTATGGTAAATGCCAGTGTGCTTTGCCTTACCGTGTGGCAACAGCTTCTCCTGGGTAGTGGATGCTCTTGAAAACCAACGCGAATGCACCTTCCTGAAAACACATAAACAGTGAGAGTCAACTCATTCCATCAGCCATGCTGCTGCTGCCTGGCCACACCCCAGATGGGTCTCCCTGGGCCCCTCTTCCTGGTGGGAGGTCCTGGGGTCCCTCAGGGAGCTGAGTGCAGGAACAGTGCATTTGGGGTAATGTCATGAGGGAAAGCAAAACAGACGGTGTCACAGGAAGTACCACAGACCAAAATGTGTGAATTCCACAGTGAGCAATGTGCAGCACGCTTGCCCAGGCCCACAGGGAGCCTGGCGGGGTGCCGGCTGGGTGGACAGGGGCAGTAAGAGACACAGGAAATGATAGCTGGGACCAGGCTGCCCTGCCCTGCTCAGGGACCGCACCTACTCAGCAAGCCCCTGTGAACTGCACTTTAGCTCAACATGTGGTTGGTTTGTGGAAAGCCAGAACTAGAATCCAGTTCCAACACAAGACTCCAGATGCTTTTTCTACTTAAATTCTTGGTGCAAAATTCTCCCCTAGGTCTTGCCTGTATTAATTTACCACAACCCTAGCCAAGCTCAGTTATATATAAACAGCTGCAAATCTGAATTTCGACATGCCATCCTCCAAGTGTGGGAGCTGCGGGCAGCCCCAGGCCTGTGTGGTCAGCATGTCGGGTCTAGGTTGCCAACTCAGCTGCAAGGCCAGAGAAACCTGAGTTGGCATCCCCAGGCCTCAGCAGGGCTTTCAAACTGCCCCAAACCAGGGGGCTTCAGGCAGACCCTGCTGCTTTTGTCAACAACAACAACAAAAAAAACGCTGCTCACTCTCTGCCAAAAAGAGCCCTGTACTCTCCCAGACAGGAAAAGTCTTAAGTTTAAGTGTCATTATGAGAGAGGTATTTCTAAAATTTCAAAATAAAAATGGAAAAGAAAAAACAGCATGCTATAATACCTAACTGGCTCAATGTACATTACCCAGTGCATTAAGTGTGGGATAAGCTGTTATTTATAAACACATCCTCTAAATGATGGACCTCCAAAAACAGGAGTTAGAGGACAAAAAGGGTTTCAATAGTAGACTTACTTTTTAAATCAGACCCTGAAAACACCTGCTCAAGAATAATATATTTTAAACCACAAGGTGGTGCCTGCCAGATGTTCTGGGCTCCAGGCCAGTGTCCAGGCTGCCATGGCCCTGGAGGAGCTACTGGGTGGCATTGCCGCCTGGGAGGATGGGCTCTGAGAGGCCTGGAGCCCTCTCCTCCTCCCTTGCCCCACATGGGCCTGTGTCTGCTGTACCTCCTACTCAGTGTGGGGGCCTCCCCTTGGACAATACCCCCAGTGTGTGCTCCCTTCTCAGGGACTTCAGATCCCTGGGCTCTGTCCTCTGGGATGTCACCGATCTCTCTCCTTCTCTCCCTCTTTTGGGCCATTCTGTTCCACATACAGACATGCTCTGATAGGGCTATCACAAAAACAGGCTGGGTATGGTGGCTCATGCCTGTAATCCCAGCACTTGGGAGGCCAAGGCAGGTGGATCACTTGAGGTTAGGAGTTCGAAACCAGTCTGGTCAACATGGTGAAACCATGTCTCTACTAAAAATACAAAAATTAGCTGGGCATGGTGGTGCATGCCTGTACTCCCAGCTACTTGGGAGGCTGAGGCAGGAGAATTGCTTGAACCTGGGAGGCAGAAGTTACACTAAGTCAAGATTGCACCACTGCACTCCAGCCTGTGTGACAGAGTGAGATTCTGTCCGTCTCAAAAACAAAAATAAGAACAACAACAACAAAAAAAAACGCAAAATGACATCCTCCCTTGGTACCACAGCCCTCTCCTGCACACCACCACCAAGTTCATGTGTACGTTGTAAGAAGTCATAGACTCTAATGCCACTCACAATTTTAGAAGTGTCAGAATGAAGCAGGGCACTTTCTATTTGATGTTGATGAACCAAACCACAGAATGTCTTCCAGGTCTACAAGAGTGTAATATCTTAAGACCAGACACTGTAAATGAGCTGTCTTTTATCCTCAGGACTGTGTGCAAGTTTGTCTAATAAGGGCTTACAAAAAATAAAGGATTCCTTGCCATTTGCTGCCTGAAAAAAATGTTTTTAAAGAAAAAATGAAGGAATGAGTTAGACAGATGGGATTTGTAACTCACCAACTGCTGAATGACTCTCTCGACCAATGTTGAAAACGTAATGTCCTCAGTTTCTCTGTTGTCGAACACATATTTAATCAGCTTGGCAATGGTCTCTGTATCTGTTTCTGACTCAAACTCGTAGCCTTTGCTTTCCTGAAATATGCAGTCGACATAGTGTGAGAGAGTGGTCATTGTGCAACGCCTGCTTGGCCAGCTCCCTCTCCTCCCTGATGATCTGTGCTTGGAGTGACTTAAGTCAAGAACAAGGAAAACTGGGAAGAGACAAAAAATGTTTGCCAGCATCACACAGCCAAACACCTCTGAGTCATTCCAGGATGCCCTGAGATCATCCCACCTCAGAAGCTCGCCCTTGCCACTAATCTAGACATTGCAAAATAACAGCAGTCAAAATGATAAAATACGTTGAGTCAAATCCACCCACATCCCAACCATCACCACAAAGCCTTTCAAATTTTAGACACTGTCTGACTTCCCACCCCAACTCCGAGGCTGTGTTATATAATGCAGACACTTTAATAAAACTAAGTTCCTGTTAGTTTGATTCTGGGAATCTGCAGCGCCCCTTGAGATAAACACTAATGCCCTGATATCTCCTCAAACAAGATCTGCAGGGCCTGGCTCAGCCAAGGCAGAAGTTTCTGCTTAACATGGTGACGTGGCTGAGTGTGGGTCTCAGTTCCCACGCTGGTTTCCGTGAGGAAATGAGCTGGTTGGAAAGTTTCCGGGGAGACCAATACCATGGAACTGAGACATTACCTAGGGGAAGCATCTTACCAGAAATTTCCTCAGATCTTTGTAATTTGTGATGATCCCATTATGGATGACAACAAATTCTGAAAGAAAAGTTAAGAGAGAAATGCTATTGAGAAGGAAGTTCAAGTCAGATGCGAAGAGAGATGATTTCAAGGCTTGAGAACTCTCTGCAAACTCCAGGCCCATAAAGACTTAAGTGCACTTTGTTTGCAGTGATTAGCACTGATATCTACTGGTAGCTACTACAATGGAAACAGGGATTAGCACTGATGTCTAGACTGCAGCAGCTACTACAATGTGAATCCTAGGAAATACACATCCCTCTTTCAGTGACCAGCAACCACCAGCCTGACCATGCAGAGAGCTCTCCCCTGTGTGCTACTGTAATATCAAACAGGTTTTGGGGTTCATGTCCAGTGGGGATGATGAACCCTTCATTCCAGAAATGATTCCAGGCATTCCCAACTGACTTTAGGCATTCCCAACTGACAGTCCAACCACATGCTTTGTTTGATCCACACTGTGTTGTAAAAATATTTGTGGGGTTTTTGAGACAAGAGTCTTGCTCTGTTGCCCAGGTTGGAGTGCAGTAGCGTGATCTCAGCTCACTGCAACCTCCACCTCCTGGGTTCAAGTGATTCTCCTGCCTCAGCCTCCTAAGTAGCTGAGACTACAGGTACCCGCCACCACACCCAGGTAATTTTTGTATTTTCAGTAGAGATGGGGTTTCACCATATTGGCTAGGCTCGTCTCGAACTCCTGACCTTGTGATATGCCTGCCTTGGCCTCCCAAAGTGCTGGGATTACAGGCATGAGCCACCACACTTGGCCCAATATTTGAGTTTTTAAAATTCTGAGTGTTCACTTTAAAATCTTGGTTTTCTTAGGGGAAAAATCCCAGAAGTTCTGGCATCCCTAGGCTCAGCCACATTCCTGCACAGCAGGATCTGCTGGCTGCAGCTTCTCCCACCTCCCCCAGGCCTGCCACACATCCTGCTCATGTGGGCGGCTTCCTGTACAGGTGGCACCCCGCTGACCCTGGGGTGCAGTGAGGGATGTGTCTGCCTCCACCCCACTGCATTTTCTCAATGAATAGCGTGTGCATGAGTGCCTTAAGGGAAAGGTCCAAGGCCAGCCTGAGAATTTTTCTGGCCAAGTAGCCCCCCTTCCCTCAGCTCCTAGAGGACAGAAAGATTCCCTATTGCCCTTGAGGTTCAATAATTCCACCAGGAGGTATCTAGATGTTGGATGCACTTCATAAATATTGACAATTATTTTTTTCAAAGCATCACTGTGAAGTCTTATTTATTATTATTATTCTGAGACAGTCTCGCTCTGTCACCCAGGCTAGAGTGCAGTGATGTGATCTCGGCTCACCACAACCGCTGCCTCTCTGGGTTCAAGTGATGCTCCTGCCTCAGCCTCCTGAGTAGCTGGGATTTCAGGTGCGTGCTACAATGCCTGGCTATTTTTTGCATTTTTTAAGTAGAGACAGGGTTTCCACGTGTTGGTTAGGCTGGTCTCGAACTCTTGACCTCAGGAGACCCCCCCCCCACGCCGCCTCCGTCTCCCAAAGTGCTGGGATTGTAGACATGAGCCATTGCTCCCCACCTACTGACTATTTTTGATCCCTTCTTGGGATCTCCAATTCAAGTTTTCCTTCAGTTGAGCAAAGATTTCTCCTACAGCATCTTTTAAAACCTTTTCTACTATCCTTTTTCTTTATTCTCACCATGGTTTCCTCTACTAAAAGAAAAATCATATTATTTGTTTTGTGAGCTTACACCCAAAAATGGGAGGGCTTGAATAAGAAAAGCCCGGTTTCAACAGACATGCTGACCACTTCTGTGCACGCTTCTCTGTGCTCTGATTGCTTCTTGTGCACACCAGTTACCCATATGTTGGATCCGTATTAACTGGCTCCCCTTCCCCATTTTTTTCATATCTAGGGTGATACAGTTTCTTTACACTATCCTCTTATCTCTTAATTCTGTCACATTTTCTTTTATCTCTCTATGATCCTATCATTAACTTGTTTTCTAGAATCCATGTTGTCTGTGCAAAATCTTTGTGTAATATCCTTGTGCAGTGTAGTTGCTGGGTGTTCAGACTTCCTTCAAAGCATGCTCTTCAGCTATCACTGCTGAGCTGTTCATGAAATTTTATGAATCTTTGCTTATTGCCCTGTTCTTTTGAATTACTCATCCTGAGTCATGGCTAGAGTGTCCAAGTTTGGGTGTGGGTGGGTCTTCTTGGAGCCTCCCTGCTTTGGGGACATAGTCAGAATCATTGTCTGCACTGAAGTGGGGGGTTTTCTGATAAGGTTCATTTTGTCACTTGGGAGAGCAGGAGGCTGTGGCTGAGGTGGCAACATCTCAGGGCACATGGTCTAGGTGCAGTGTTTTCTCAGCCAGCATGACTACTCCAGGGACCAGCTTCTGCATCTGACCTGGGCTCTGGCCAGATGTACATTCTAGGTCCTCAGCACCATGGGATCTGCTGTCCTCCTCCTGGATACAGGGTATGTGCTTCAGTCATGTAATGCCCTGTGGTTCAAGGCATGGGCCAGACCCAAGGAACTGGCACCAGCAAAAACCTCACTCCCTCAAGACTCAGACACATGGATATATGAGTAGCCCTGACTACTGTGCTACTACCAAGCTACTCTGCTGTGCAGGGTGGGTGGAGCTCTCCTTTCATTCTCTGGGGGACGCCTTCCCTTCCAAATTGGGCAGGGTGAGCTGGTGAAGCCCTATAGAATGCTTTGGAGAGAAGCTGCACCACCGTACTTTCTGTTGGTGGTGGGGGTACCTGCTCATCCCCCCGTTACATCTGCAGTGAGCAGGGGACACCAAGCAGGGTGGTGCTGGGCTCCCGTGGCCTGACTTCCACAAGGATTAACTGCAGTGGGACTTGTCAAGTGTCAAGGCTTAGTGCCTCCTAGTAAGCCCCCAGTAACTGCTCTGATGTATTTGGTCCTATCTAACATTAGGCTTGGCAAGAACTTACACTATGCCAGAGGATGTCTTGGGGCGAGGGGTCTGGCTGACTCCAGAAATCACTCTCTTTGCTATACACCCTTCCCTGGCATGTCCAGGTTGGGGGCATCAGGGGCTTAAGACCAGTGCAGGCCTCACCCTGGAAGGCCCAGATTATATCCTAGACTCCTGCCTGCCCTTGAAGGCCTGGGAGGAGACAGGGATTACATCCTCTCTCCCACTGCTCCATGCCCACTGCATCCCACTGCAGGAGGCCCAGCGCCCTGGGGGCTGACCACAGACCTCTGAGAGCTGCCACCAGGAGCTGCAGACCTACCAGTCTTTCCCCCATGAGAGGGGACAAGGGTGTCATTTAAAAGAATCGTTCATGGAGAGCTGTCCTGGGGATCCAGGCAAGTGACACGGACCTGTGAGCTGACCTGAGGAGGTGACCGGGAGAACAGAAGAGACTGAAACCCACTGAGGACAGCAGTCACAGCAACCTTGGCCTGTTGCCAATCTGTGGAGCTCCGAGGCACCATCAGCTCAGTGTTTCCAGATCCTCCAGTTTTTCAAGGGATGCCAGGAGTCTGGAATTTCATGCACCGTGATTCTCAATTTTTAAAAACATGAAGCAAGCTGAGCTGGGGGCTCTCCACTTGGGAAGAGCCCTTGGGCTTCTGGCTGCAGCCCCTACTTCTCCAAACCTTAAGTCCCTGGCTGCAAAGGTCTCCTGCTGGGGCCCATGGTGCTTCAGACACCAACCAAGACCAGTACAGCCCCTGCCCTCACCTGGACCACTCTGCGGGGAAGAGGTTGGTTTAGCTGCATGAGGACAGAACCCATCCTTCCCTGAAGGGCACAGCCTTGGGGAACATTTCCATCTCTTGGGGAGGAACAGTGCCCAGGCCCCTTAGTCCCTCACGCGGCCTCATCCCACTCATGGGCTGGGTTCCATGGAGCCAGCAGCTCTCCTGGTTTTAAGTGCCATCATTTTCCTGCGCATTCTCGGGAGACCAGCACCACTCTGGGACCAGGCTGCCTGCCTCCTGAGGCCACCAGCAGAGCTCTGGAATATGGGACATCTGCATTCTCTTGGGAAGGTGAAGCAGGCTGAGCAGTCAGTTACAGGAGGGCGTGGAACTTGCTCTGGTAGGGATTGGCCCTGACACAGCTCAGGGTGAGGTGGAACCATGGGGACGGGGAAGCATGCCACGTACCGTTGCCTTTGTCCGAGCGCTGGGGGTGGCTGTTGACAGCACTGGGGACCCCGTGGGTGGCCCAGCGAGTGTGGGCAATGCCGAAGTGTGTTTCAAACTCCACTTTTAAGTCCATGCTGTCTTGTTCTAAATGAAAGGAAAATCAGTTTGCTGCACTTTAACAACAATCCTTGACCTGGGACTGTGAAGTCGACCTGATGTCGTCACACCGAGTCACATTACCCACCAGGTAGGTGCTCTTCCTGGTGTTGCACCCCGGACTCCTGGGGTGAGGTATGACAGGTCCCACCACGGGAGTCTGGGCTGGCCCACAAACCACCTGTGCTGAGGATTATTTACTACTTCTCTGTAATTTAGCTCACTTCTTCACAGAAATAAACTTATTTTAAAAAGAAAATGATTATATCCCTACTACAAATAGAAAAGCAGTATCATTTGCCAGAATAATTAAAATAACTACTGCATGTAACTATTAACACTTAAAAAAAATTATCTGGACCGGCGTGGTAGCTGACGCCTGTTAGTTATCCCAGCACTTTGGGAGGCTGAGGCAGGCAGATCATGAGGTCAGGAGATCGAGACCATCCTGGCTATCATGGGGAAACCCCGTCTCTACTAAAAATACAAAAAATAAGCTGGGCATGGTGGCAGGTACCTGTAATCCCAGCTACTCAGGAGGCTGAGGCAGGAGAATCACTTGAACCTGGGAGGCGGAGGTTGCAGTAAGCCAAGATCGCACCACTGCACTCAAGCCTGCACAACAGAGTGAGACTCCGTCTCAAAAAAAAAAAAAAAAAAAAAAATTACCCATGTGCTGCTACCACCTAAAATAAACCATCCCACACCCTGTAAAGCACAGTTTTACAGCATGGGCTTAACACTTCTTCTGTTTATCTGAACTGGGACAAGTGAAGACTTTTGGTCTCCCATACTTTTGGAATACAATCCTATAAAGAGGCTCGTGCTGCACTCGCTCCTCCGACTCAGAGGTCTTCCACTTACTGTAAAGTTCTTCATCCAGAGCTTTAACTTTGCCCCTTTTCTTGACCAGCTGAATGTGTCTCTCTTTGACTTCATGATTGTTCCCATCGATTGCCACACCTGTGATGTAGATATTTTTTGTTATTTTGGGACTTAAGCTTTGTCTCACATACCTGGCACAGGTGCTCTGCAGGGTCAGGGCTGCACGCCCCGGGCTGTCTGTTAATGGTAGGTTGGAGAGCTGTACAGTTTTCAGGAAATTTACTTTGAAAGAAGAGGCTGTGACCGTGGCCATGCTTAACAAGTAGGGAAGCTCCTGCCTCCTCCTGGGCTACAGCTGCCTCCTGCCCAGGTGAGCTTCAGGACACTTCCCCACAGCAGGCGCTACCAGGCCCTGGCTGATGGAAATGGCCCAGGCCAGGGATTTACCCCAAGGGCTCTCTGCATTGTGATGTTGTTGCCAGTATCTCCACTGCATTAGTGTTCCTCCCATCAGACTTGCCTCCGTTAAGAGTTGACAGGGATCTAAAATCATCTGGCTCCCCTTCTCTCCTCAGTCTGCGTAATTACACAGGGTTAACAGATTAAATGTCCACCTCTGTTGTGAATGGAGGCCTGAACTCTGAGACAGCCACTCAGTGGAGTATTGTGTAGCCACTGAGAAAGCTACTTAGAAGGAGTTCAGGATCATAGAAATGCTAAGTGAAAAGAGAAGAATGTAAAATTACAAAACTGCATAATTATAATTAGGTAAAACAAAAAATGTCGATGTATAACCCCTCTACCCTCCTCCGCCGCAGACCATCCCAACAGACAACAGCAACCAGAGGAGGGACTCAAAGACTGACAGGGGTCCTTTTTTAATGAAGCCACCTCACTGAGGTAGGGCTGACATACACAAAGCTGTGCATAATGTCTACAACCTGATGGGCTTGGAGTCAAGGACACCCCCATGAAACCACCACCGCAGGCTACACCATAAACCTATCACCTTTCAGAGCCTCCTCCTGCCCTCTTTATGTATTGTGTGTGATAGGAGGACTTAACATAAGCTCTTGGCTGGGCTCGCTGGCTAACACCTACGATCTCAGTGCTTTGGGAGGCAGAGGCAGGAGGATTGTTTGAGGCCATGCTGGGCAACATAGTGAGACCTCATCTCTACAAAAAATAAAAAATCAGCTGGGTGAGGTGGTGTGTGCCTGTAGTCCCAGCTGCTGAGGAGGCTGAGGATGGCGTGAGGTCACGAGTTTCAGGCTGCAGTGAGCCAATTTCTTGGAACTGCACTCCAGCCTGAGCAACAAAAAAATAAAAAATCTACCCTTTTGGCAAATTTGTATGTGCACAATACAGTGTTGTTACGGTCAGGCATCGCGCTACAGAGCAGCTGTTCAGGACTTACTCATGCTGCATGGCTGCAGCCTTGTACCCTCTCTGCTTCCTGATGGGGGAACTTTTGAGGAAGGGGCTTGTCTGTTTTTTTTTTTTTTTAACCTTGTTTCTTCTTTCTATTTTTCTATAGGTTTCAAATTTCTTTACTGGACAGTGTTATTTTTATATTGAAAAGAAACATAAAGAAGTAGCAGAAAAAGGCGCAGGTTGTAAATCCCCTACAGAGGAGATGGGTGAGGGCAGAGCAGGGGAGCTCCGTCCCCAGAAACAAGGCAGGTGGCCGCAGACCCACCTGCCGAGTCGTAGCCTCTGTACTCCAGTCGCTGCAGGCCCTTGATGAGGGTTTCAAAGATCTCCTTCCTTGTCCGGGGGACTCTATAGTTCATGTAGGCAAAGATTCCTGTTCAAAGAGAAAAAAAATGGAGCATTAATAAAATACTCAGTTCCTGTTTGGAAGAAAACGCTTCTGGGGATGCACCAAGGTGGCATCACAAAGGGCTCCCAAGTGCTTGTGGCCCTGCCCGGGCACAGCTGAAGAATGGTGCACCCTTTCTTCCCCCGTGACAAAAAACATCCAGAAAGCCTGTGTCACGTCTTAGGCTGGCAGTTCCACCGCTGAGAACTTAACCTGTGCTGTATTTGCAGGAGGCAGCTTTTACTGTGGCAATGTCCATACTAGCAAAGGCCTGCAATGAAACTCAACTACCTTAGGACATCCAGAAGTCCCCACCTCCATGTACTCCATGATTTGCAGAGCACACATGTAGGAACGCCATAGGAAGTGACAGCAGCCCCTGGGACAGCTGGGACAGGTGCTGGGGTCTTTGCTTCCACGGGCCCCCACCATACGACAGGAGTTTGACCTTAAATAAACACTACTTTTACAACAGCAAGAATAAAACCGTCTCATGCCCCTTGGCCCCTGCAGAATCCTTTTGTTGAAGGATTTCAACATATTTTCAAAATAATATTTTTCCAAATAGGAAGTTAGCTGTTGTGTTGGTTCTGCCTTCCAGAGTCCTCCACTCCCAGTTTGTTATAAGGGATCCATGATTTCCTCTCTCCTGCCCTGCACACACCCCATCCCATCATCCCTCTGTCCTTTCATCCTCTCTCCCACCGCTTAGGAAAACCTCTCCACCTCAAAGCTCAGCTCCAGTCCCCGCCCCGGGTACAGCATGGGAGAAGATTTATTTTCCCACCTCAGTGCTCTCACATCATGGGACATCCACAGTCCCCACCAAGGGCAGGCTGGTGCTTCTATCTTTGTATTCCTCAGTGTGTGTGCACCCAGTCCTGTTCAATAAATGTTATGTGGAACAGAATAAGTGACGAGTGTGTATCCATATCCAAGGAGGGAAGCAATAGTATGGATCATAGAAACGTCACCGGGTTTCAGGCACATTCACAGTAACTGTCCTAGTTGGCTTGGGCTTCTGTATTAAAATATCACAGACACCTGGGTAATAAGCCACAGAAATTTATTCTCACAGTTCTGGAGGCTATAAATTCCAAGATCAAGGTGCCAGTAGATTCAGTGTCCGGTGAGGGCCCGTTCCTCACAGACAGCGACTTCTCATTCCAACCTCATATGGTGGACGGGGCAGGGTCTCTCTGGAGTTTTTAAATAAGGGCACACTCATCCCATTGGTGAGGCCCCTGTCCCCATGACCTAATCACTTCCCAAAGACCCACCTCCTAAGAACATCACCTTGCAGGTGAGGATTTCAACAGATGAATGACGGGGGAACACAAACTCTCAGACCACAACAGCAACTCGCCTTACTGAGAACTCCCTGTGGATCAGGCACTGGGCTACCAGTTCCCACAGAGTCAGCCTATGCTCGAAACAGCCTCCGAGGGTAGTCCATGGCCCTTCTCTTACCTTGTGGACCACAGCCTGGGGAGCCTGTGACTCATCCAGAGGCAGAGTGGAACCAAGAAGCCCCAACTCAGGACTTCAGCACTCCCACCCACTGGCCAGCGCCCCGGGATGAATGCCGCCGGGGTTACAAGAAGGTTTATCTTCCCAACTACATTCTGCTGGGATGAGAGAAAGGTCTGACCAGGATTGAAATTTTTCCAGAGGTGAACCCCAGAGAGGACACGCAGATAATGGAGGGCTGACCGTCATTACGCAAGAAACTACCTGGAACTTCTCTGGTCATTGAGGAGATCAGATTCATGTCAATATGCCACATCTGAATAAATGATTAAACTTCAGTGAAATGAATACTATATTCCTAAACAGTGAGCAAGGTCCCATCATATAAAGTTAATAAAATTAATCTATAAACAGTCAAAAATAGGCAATAAAATTAAATAGTACTATAAATTATACTTAACATTTTTTAACTTTTTAATTTTAAAAAAATCTATTTCTTTTTACTGTATGGCATATGCATATACTTAACATTCTTACTGTAACCTACTGTATACAGGATATGTTTGCACATATGTATTAAGGTAGGGGATTTATATATAAAAATATGTACACTGTGCTTTCTAAGCAGTTACAGGCGTTTTCTTTTAAAATCAGCCAAGGGCAATTTTCTCAGTAGGCTATTTTTATCCTCCTTGCTGTCTTTAGGTCAGGTGAGAGGAGCTGAATGTAAGAACTGTGTGTGCAGTTCAGGCCCTTCTCTGGCGGGGCTGAAGTGAACCAGTGAGGGCCGCCGCAGGGCTGCTGCTAAGTATTTATGGTTCCAGAAGCTCACACGATAGCCCCTAAACATCTGGGCATGGAGGTACTTTTGTCACTTTATTTTTTAAAAAGATAGTTATTTTTTTATATGGTTTGGCTGTGTCCCCACCCAAATCTCATCTTGAATTGCAGCTCCCACAGTTCCCACGTGTTATAGGAGGGATCTGTTAGGAGGTAAATGAATCATGGGGGCAGATCTTTCCTGTGCTATTCTCATGGTGGTGAATAAGTCTCAGAGGTCTGATGGTTATATAAAGGGGAGCTTCCCTGCACAAACTCTTGTCTTGTCTGCCGCCATGTGAGATGTGCCTTTCACCTTCCGCCATGACTGTGAGGCCTCCCCAGCCATGTGGAACTATAAGTCCCTTAAACCTCTTTCTTTTGTAAATTGCCCAGTCTTGGGTATCTCTTTATATCAGCAGCATGAAAATGGACTAATATAGGTCCAGGTGTGGCAGCTCATGCCTGTAATCCCAGCACTTTGGGAGGCCAAGGGGGGCAGATCACCTGAGGTCGAGAGTCGGAGACCAGCCTGACCAACATGATGAAACCCTGTCTCTACTAAAAGTACAAAGTTAGCTGGGAGTCGTGGCGGGTGCCTGTAATCCCAGCTACTCGGGAGGCTGCAGCAGGAGAATAATTTGAACACGGGAAGTAGAGGTTGCGTTAAGCCAAGAGCAAGCCATTGCACTCCAGCCTGGGCAACAAGAGCAAAACTCAGTCTCAAAATAAATAAATAAATAAATAAATAAGAAAATGGACTAATATATCTTTTAATGTCAATGTTTAAAAATTTTGGCCGGGCACAGTGGATCACACCTGTAATCCCATCACTTTGGGAGGCCAAGGTAGGTGGACCATGAGGTCAAGAGATTGAGATCATCCTGGCCAACATGATGAAACCCCATCTCTACTGAAAATACAAAAATTAGCTGGGTGTGGTGGTGTGTGCCTATAGTCCCAGCTACTTGGGAAGCTGAGGCAGGAGAATGGCTTGAACCCAGGAGGCAGAGGTTACAGTGAGCCAAGATCTCACCTCTGCCCTCCAGCCTAATGACAGAGTGAAACTCTGTATCACAAAAAAAAAAAATTAAGAGCTTTTTGAGATAAAAGTTTTGAGATGCTATGTACCATAGCATCCTCCCATCTAAAGCATGTGATTCAGTGGTTTATTGTATTTAGAGTTGTAAATCATCACTACTGATGTTTAGGTGAAACTTTTTTCTTTTTGAGACAGGGTCTCGCTCTGTTGCCTAGCCTGGAGTGCAGTGGTGTGATCTCGGCTCACTGTAACCTCAAACTCCTGGGCCCAAGCTATCCCTCCTGCCTTCGCCTCCCAAAGTGCTGGGATTCCAGGTATAAGCCACAGTGTCCAGCCTAGGTGAAACTTTTCATAACATTAATTTTTCCCTGCACAGACCAGAAAGTTCCCTGTGGGGACATGGTCAAATTCTGGTCAATGTAAAGACCACAGAGCCATGGGAGACAGTTAAGCGAAAGAGGGAACAACTCAATAAAATCTTTGTTGGAGTCTTTTACACTAAACTTTCCTGGCATCCTGGGCTGGGAATGTTCTAGAATTATACCTGTACCTCCCTAAGGGAAGCAGACAGGCAAAGGTCCAGAAATGTACCCATCACCAACTCTGAAAAGGTTTTGTGTCTGAATGGTGTTCCCAAATGCTCCAGGAATCAGCTCTGCAACTCTCCCCTGCAGCTCCCTCTCTTCCCAGCCATGCTTCACTCCTGCATACACATCAGGCACGAACTTTCGGCACACTCAGCTAGACGATTCTCACTTTCAGAGTCACGACAGCTTCCTGGGCAGCAGCGGGGATGTAAGCAGTCCTTGTCCTCAAGACCACCAGTGTGTTTGCACTCAGCCGGGAGGCCCGGTGGCCACTCAGGCACAGCGTGGGAGCTGACTGCAGTGAGAAAAGCTGCCAAGGAGTGGTTTTCATCATCCTTGCGCAAGAACGCATAAATCTCATTTTCACCGTGTGAGCCCTCTTGCGTAGTGACATCTCAGTAATTTCTTTCATGAAGGAAGCTCTGTTTCTTTCCTTTTGCAGCTCATCCTCTTGGCTGGATTCTCCCTGAGCTCTACTGCACTGAAGTGAATAAAGCAGTATTCACACTGTGCTCTTATTATTTAAAAATAAAACACAATAAAATGAAGCTCCTTTCCCAGGAATTTCTCCTGCTATTTATGTCAGAATTCCCTTTTGGAACCCTTTCCATCCATAAATAAAATCAACAATGAGAATCTGCTTTTTCAAACCTATGAGGTTGGTAAAGATCAAACAGTTTGACAGTAAGTGAGAGTTTAAATTCACATACCCTCTTTGGAAGGCAATTTGGCAATCTCTCAAAATTAAAAATGTACACATCTGTGGACCAGAGCTGTTGGGCTTCTAGGAAGGTACCCAGCGGACGTCTTTGCAGAGATGAATGCACACACGTATGAGGATAGCTGTTTAGGGCCTTTGTGGTTGCCAAAGATGAGCAACAGCCCGATATCTGGCAGGGGTAGGCAAGGGACAGCGCAGCCACACAGCAGGGCCTTGTGCAGGCAGCCCTCGACAGAGCAAGGGAAAGCTGTGCATTCTCTTGGAAGGCAATCTGAATCTCCAAGCTGTGTCAAGGGAAAAAGAAGCTTGCAGAACATAAGTAAATTACACAAGGGCTGGGGGAGGA